GCCTGAGCGCCTTAATTTTCACGCTGCACTGCTGCGAGACCCTGTTATAACCTCTGTCCTTCATGCCCTTGGAGATTTTTTCAAATGTTTTGGCATTTTGTTTACTGGAATGGAGTTCAGCTAGGGTGACCAGACAGCAAGTGTGAAAAATCAGGACATGGGGTAGGGGGTAATAGGAGCCTATATAAGGAAAAGACCCAAAAATCGGGACTGTCCCTATAAAATCGGGACATCTGGTCACCCTAAGTTCAGCTAGCACGGATTCATCTCTCCATAAAGCGATCAGATCCCTTACCTCCCGTTAGGTCCATGCTGGAGCTCTTTTGTGATTCTGGGACTCCATGGTCACCTCTGCTGATGAACTCTGCATGGTCACCTCTGCTGATCAGCTCGCCACGCTGGCCAAACAGGAAAGGAAATTCAAAAGTTTGCGGGACTTTTCCTGTCTACTTGGCCAGTGCATCTGAGTTGAGAGCGCTGTCTAGAGCGGTCACTGTGGAGCACTCTGGGATAGCTCCCGGAGGCCAATACCGTCGAATTGCATCCACATTACCCCAAATTCGACCCAGCAAGGCCGATTTCAGTGCTAATTCCCTCGTCGGAGGTGAAGTAAAGAAATCGATTTTAAGAGCCCTTTAAGTTGGAAAAAAGGGCTTTGTCATGTGGACAGGTGCAGGGTTAAATCGAGGTAACACTGCTAAATTTGACCTAAAATTGTAGTGTAGACCAGGCCCAAGATAGAAGGGGGAGTTGGTATACTTCCACGAGCAAAATCTTATGGGCAGTACGGGACTTCATATGGGCACTAAAATCTATTCTCCCTTGGGACAACAGAGATTCTAAGGAACTACTAGCTCATGAAAATGTACTGTTATGGAATATCTTCTTTACCGTGGTGTGTTTATTGCTGTTGCATCCTATACTGCATATTTTTTCTCTCGATATTTTGATGTTTCCTGGCCCACTGTCCCCTATGCAACTTTTTCTTTTCTTTTTCTTTTTTTTATAACTTGCTACTGCTTGGCTGCTACCAAACATTGCAGGTGGAATGAACCTAGCTTACTGATGAATAGATCAGGTATGTCCACGTAGTTCTTTAATTTCTATGGAAAGTTAATAGACAAAGGCAGAGCAGCAGGTGTGATGGAGAACTAGTGGCAATATGGTTAAATTAGGATTTAGTTTTGCATTGTTTTAATATTACACACAATATTATTAATCAGAATTGAAATGGAATGGTCGTTGTAGACTCTTTTTTTGAATGGTTGATTCCAATGTCTGGACTCCACAATACACATAGCATAGTCCTGTAACCTAACTTAATCAATAAGTCAGGGAAAAACAGATTTAGAAAACATTTTTTCCCTTTTAAAAATCAACACTGATACAACCAAACTCAGCAAATGGAGGATTTTTGCTCCCTGGGTGTCACAGTGTATGAAGATGAGACTCTTTAGGCGACACCCAAAACATTAATATTGACCTATTTGACATGCCTGCCAGTAAGCATTTGGCACACAGGAAGGAGGAATATTATTTATCACAGAAACCTGGATTATGTGAACATGGATTGGGCTCAACCTGGCTTTTTTCAGATGTTCAAGTTAGACCCTGTAGGCAACAGAATGGAAAAAGAAGGAAACTCTTGAAAGGTGCGGTTATTGCTTAACATAAAAATGGAAAGAGAGTAACCAGTGAGTGGAAAATAATCAGCATTTGGTTAAGGATTGTTTGTCATTGGGAAGGAATTCTTAGCAGGAAAATGTCCAATTTTTATTGAAGAGGGGATTAGAGAAATGGTTGGAGGGGAAGTAAAGGAAAGATGGTTGAACACTATTAAGAACTAGCATGGTAATAAAACAGAGTATATTTGCTGTGTCTCCCAAATGATGGCCAGATTACAGTTATCCAATTAGGTTCTGTCTACACTGCAACTTTTAACCAAGTTTGTATCCAGTTAGCAGCATGGCTGGCTCCAAATACAGTTTGTTCTCACACACAACATGATTAATGCTCTATTAGTAACCATGGCAGTTAAATATGTACTGTCCTTGCCAGGACCACAGGCTGGCACATGATTGTCTTATGACACCATTTGGCACACTCTTTTGCAGTGTAGATGGGCCCCCTAACTGTGCCCCTGTGCATCTGTGACTCTTTTGTGATATGCTAACCCTTGCTGAAGCACGATGGGATAGCTGCCCAAAAATTCTTAGAGTCATCCAAAACAAACAAACAAAAAACATGTAAGTCATGGGAGATGGGGATGCATAAACACAGTTGACTCATGAATGGTTGTGTTGTGAAGGAAGCTGTTGGTGCAGACACAACTCCAACTGTATTTGTTGTTACAGGGTGCAAAGAAAGTGTCACAAATTGGTTAAAAATATAGTGATAACTGTAATGTGGACAGGTCTTTACTGGAGTCACCAAGGTCTGGTCTAAAAAACCCACTCCCCTGACTACCATAGTTATGCTGATATAACGCCTGGTGTAGATGCAGCTATTTTGATGGAAGAATGCTTCTGTTGACATAGCTAACTCCATTCGGTGTTCCTACACTGACATTAAAAACATTCTGTCAGTACACTGTGTGCCAACATAGCTATGCTGGTATAGTCTCTGTAGTGTAGACATACCACAAATTTGCATCCTGTGCAAACCACAGCCAAGATTTGGCTTGGAACTGCTGTGGTCTGGAAGTAGGCCAAATGGAAAATTTAGGCAGTAGGAGCTGTGCAACTGTCTCAGCTGGACGTCATGTATATCTTGCACATAGAAATTATAGATCATGATATGAAGGTCCGCAGTCTTGGCTTATGGACTTGACAGCACAGGATGATGACACTTCAGAAAGTTTTCTATACAAATCTACCAAGCCCCAACATCTCCATTTAACCATTTAATCTCCACCATGAACTGGTGTTCATGCAGTTATTCCATTGCTATATTTTTCTTCAATATTACTTTGTTGCCTCCTTCAGACAGATCTTCAGGGGTGAAATTCTAAAATCCCATTTTAAAATCTAAGAAATACAATGATCTTATGGTTAGACTACTGGACTGGGACTCAGTTGTTCTGGATTCAACACATTTTTAATATTTTTATTGCAGATACAAATAAAGTGTAAATAGAAAGAACAGCTTGTTCAACAGCAAGAGAGAAAAACAGGCAAAAAGACAAGAAAAATCAGTGGAAAACACTGTTAAGATAGACTATTGTGTTTCATTAACAGTTGCTTTTCAGAGTGATTTAGGATATATGAAGAACTTTAAACCTGTATTACTACTGTGTATAAAATTTGGAATTATTCATGTGCATTCAAAATAAAGACCATTTTTTAAATGTTTAGATACCGTCTTTTGTATGCTCCCTTACCTAGACTGCTTTATAACCTTCTGTTCTAGGTGGTATAGATAAAGAAACTTTCCACTGTAGAAAAGACTCCCAACATTCAGCTGTATGATACTGTTCAAGTGCAGTTTATTGAAAATTCTTTTGTATTGTGACATTGTCCATTTTTGTTCATAAAGTGAACTATATATGATCCATAAAGTTGGGTATATGTGACTCGGTACAAGAAGGATTACCGCTTTTCTTAATGTGGAGAGCTGGAAACTAATGGACAGTCACCACCCCTGCCAACTGACGAGGAAGATCTAACCCTGTACATCAGTCACGTTTTATGTTCTACTCCATACTTGTAGTTTTCAGCGCAGTGGAGTGAAAGCTCAGCCTTTTCTCCTTGTTCAGATAGGGCCAAATCTACAATGAGGGGAGTGCCCCATGCACAGTGCTAAGCAGCTCACATCCCTTTGAATCCATGGGAACTGAGGATGTACAAGAGGCAGTCAGCCGCTTGTAAGATCAGACTGCTATTGCCATCGCTGATTAAGGGCCCCATCCTGTGAGGCAGTCAGCAGTTAAAGGTGCTCAGAACCTGGACCTAATTTAAGAATCCAGGGCATCTGGGAATTTTGTTGCAGCCCTGACCCTGTGAGATTCTGATCATCTGTTGAAAGGCACCGAGTGTTCTCAGTTCCCATTGACTTTAATGGGAGTGGAGGGTGTGCAGTACCTCTCAGAATCAAGGTCTTGTAAAGCAAGGAGGGAAACAGGACTGACAAATGCAGGAAGACAATTAAGTCCTTTTAGACTATGTTTCATGGGAGCTCCGGTATTTCTGCAACAAACACCATGTGTCTAATTTTCCTCTCACAGGAGAAGGGAACAGGAGACCCCCACTGCTGTGGCAGAAAGTAAATAGCATTTCACATACTCTAAAAGATGCACTCAGAGCTATTTCCTTGATTATCAGGTGCCCTGTTAAATATTTTGTTATGAAAACATTTTCACAGAAAGAAGACTGGTTGTATATCAGGAAACTACCAGAGTGTCCTGTTGTTTTTCAGACAGGTGGAAATTCAAAGGAAAATGTAGGATGAACATAAATGAATATAGGATTGCAGTGTAGTTGTAAACTGTGTTGGTCCCAGGATATTGGAGAGACAAGGTGGGTGAGGTAATACCTTTTACTAGACCAACTTCTGTTGGTGACAGAGAGAAGCTATCCAGCTTACACAGAGCTCCTCTTTAGGACCATAACAGAGTGCCCAGTCCTGCTACCCCTACTCTCCTGCGTTGTCCCATTGAAGTCAATGGGATCAGAACAGGGTTCCAAGACTGCTAATCCCTGAGGATGGGGACATGCCCCCATTACTGATCCCTACAGTGCTCTGGCCGCTGTGCCAAGGCTGCCAGAGAGGCTGGGTGGGGATGGCAGGGTGCCTGAGGCTGTGCAGTCATCCCCCGCGGACCCGGGCCTGGAGAACAGACTCCGGGGCCAAGGCTGCCCCGCCAGGTCTGTGGGAGTGGCTGGTGAGCCCAGCTCCGCTTTCAGGGCGCCTGAGACCTCCCGCCGGGGACGCCCTGGCCGCGGGTGCCGGAGAGCTCTCCCCGCCGGGCGCTGCAGACCAGGCGCCAGGGGGCGCCCCCCGCCAGCTGCCTGCGTTCTCCCGGGCGCACCCGGGCGGCTCTGGCGGCTGTTTGAAAGTGCGGAGGAGGAGCGGGGCTGCGCACGGGGCTGGCGGGCAGCGGCAGCCCGGCCTCCTTTGTCCCCTCCCCTAGTCGCCGAGCCGGCAGCGGGTGCAGCAGCCGGGAGCTGAGCGGGCCGGCCTGGGGAGATCTTTCCCTTCCCGCAGCAGCACCGAGGTCGCCATCTTCGCCTCTCCGCCCCGGCTCCCAAGCAGGGCGACGGAAAATCCCTCTAGCCAGGCGCTGCTCGTGCCGCATCCCTCGCCGCCAGCACCCAGCGCCCGCCGCCGCCCGAGAGCCAGGGCAGCCGGGGAGGGGAGTGGGCGCGGCCCCCGCCCGCTCCATGTGATCGCCCGGGCTCAGCAGCCTCCCGCACTGATCTCATCTCCATCCTCCCCAGCGCTGCGGGCACCCGGCGGGAGACGGAGGTGCCGAGGGGAGGCGAGGGGAAGCCAGACAAAGGAGCAGGCGCTGCTGTAGCAGGAGGTGAGTGACCGGGGGGTTCATCGGGCAGAAGGGGCCTAATTTTCGTGCTTCTCCCCCATTTCTATGTAACCTCCTCCTTCGAAAGCCTCCGGCTTCATGTGCACTGGGAGTGGCCTGTTCTCCTCCCTAGAGAGCAGAGCGACCCCCCCCCCCGCCTTCCACCATCACCCCCCCCCCAAACTCCGCTGCAGCAGCAAAGCAGGGATGCAGGCTCGCCCAGCCTTCTGCCAGCGAAGAGGGGAGCAGGGTTGGGGGCGCAGGGCTGGCATCCCCATCTGGAAGACTAGTGTGATCTATAGTGCGGGTGTGTTTGTAGGAAACAGACAGCCATACCTGTGTGGACCCCACTGGGCTACGGTGTAATGCACCAGAGCCTGCAGCTCCATTTTCATCCCTGGGAAAGTCCTCTGCTCTCCATTCTGTTGTCACTTCTCTTCCTTCAAAGTCAAAGCAGGAGGAGGGGGAATTCCCACACGCAGGGCAGAAATGAAGGCTCACTGTGCAATAGTTCTCGCAGTGTGAAGCAAGTGGGAGCAGAAGGCTAAAAAAACTTGGCAAATGTTTGGTGTTATTGCCAGTGCTGTTGTCAGTGGCAGGTCAGGTTTCTCAATGGCATGGACCAAAGGTTTTGGGGAAGGGAAGCCGAGTCTCTCTGATCCTAAACACAGTGCCGTGCCCCCCGCCTCCACACACTTTTTTTTAATTGGGCTATAAACCCTGCAATTGGATATTAGTAAGCAAAAAAATCTAGGGCTTTCTCTCCCCTCCTCCCTCCAAGCTAATCAGAACATTAACAGAATTAGTGCCTGCACAGCTTGACTCTTTCTTATGGAGTTAAAGAGAGCAGGAGAGGAAACTCCAATAGGGATTTAGAGCACAAATGTATTATTTTTTTTCTCCTCTCCCTCCCCCTGCTTATCTACAGTGATTGTAAGGCCAGATTTGCTTCCTTTCCACAATGCAGTAGGCTTCACTGTGAGTAAAGTGATGCTTCTACAACATTTAAAATAAAATACTAGCAGTTATTTCCTTGTTCCTTTTTTGTCAAAGTGGCAGCAAGGACAGTTTCATTTGCTCAAAAATATTAAAAATTGCTGTTTCTGGGGAAAATATGACAATTGAGAGCATTGAGGGGGACAGGTGATGCCTTTAACAGGTTGTGCAAGTGCAAGTGCTTCTTGAGCTCAAGGACAAAAGGAGGCTTCTTTTTTTGCCTTTTTTTTTTCTTGGCACAGAGGGTGTGGTAATGGCACTGTAATGCAGCATTGGTAACTGAACAGGAGCAGGGCACTGTTGACTGCATATCTGAGGAAAAACGTTTGTCCGTTATTGGGTGCTATGGAGGTGTTAATGAGTTCATGGTTGATGTGACAGCTTTTATTGTTACATAATACAAATCTGAGTAAAATATAAAAATTCATTCTAGGAAAATCACCTGACACTATCCACAAACTGTATGTATGTAACTCATTGGTGAGTTAGCAGCAGCACATCAGAACTGTAAGGTAGTGTTGCATATATGAATTTATCTGTCTTTGAATTTAAACCTGTTAATTTCAAAATTCAGTGTTCCTAATACAAAACATCTAAAAAGTCACCTTTTCAAATAAGTAACAAACTCCTGACATGTTTTGAAGTTTATTTTGTATGACTAACCAGGTGTGAAGAACTTTGGCATAAACTATTGCTTTTCATAGGCTAAGAAAATATAACATTCTGAGGTGAGATTTGTGACTTAGACATGCAGCATGAAATAAGTGTGTCACAAATTCTTCATGTTGTTTTGAACCAGAGGCTGACTGCTCTTTGGGTGATTTAGGGTAAACGTTAAAGAAAAATGTTTATTTTTATGTTCAGTGAGTAACAAGATCTTCTAGAGGCAATTCAAACAAACAAACAAACAAACAAAAAACCCACAACCAGTGCTGTGATGACAGCTATTTATATTTTTTTCTGAAAATAAAAACTTAAAGCTAATTTTTGAGTGCTATCTGACAAAAATTTATTACTTTATCATAGCTTAATGGTTAACTTGATTTAGTAAATTAAAGATATATCTTTCTGTGACAGAAAAGCTTATGTAATATTATTTTTAAGCTCTTCATTTATCTTCTGAATCCTAGCACAAAGGGCCAAATTCTGTTCTGTTTTATATGGGTATAACTTGAGTAATTCCGATGATTGTAATGGTATTATGCTGGATTTACACTGGTGCAAGTGAGATTAGAATTTTGTCCAATGATTAAGTTTGTCTTTCTAGTTTATAATTGCCCATATAATACTACCTTGCTCATACCCATGTTGATCTAAGTAGGGAAGAGCTGATAGCTGGTGAAATTCTCTTACAGAACATTTTATATTATGAAATATCTTTGGGGATTCATAGTACTAAAAAATTGTTGGAGGTAAGCAAGTCATTTTGGAAACGACACCACTTGCATTGTCAATATACCTGTGCAACTCTTAGTCTGTTCCTGATCTCTTTCAGTTTCTATTCTCATTTCCCTTTTTGCCAAAAAAGGCAATGTTAAAGATTAAATGTTGGAGAGTGAGAAGTCTGCCCCTGATCCTGCAGATACTTCTGTAAGTGAATAGTCTCACTGAACTCATTGCTTAGTTCAGTGGGATTATTCACTTTGCATAAAGTTGAGCATAGGTGTAAATATTTGCAGGATTGGGGTTTAAACAATCTGTAGTTTTTCTCTTAGGTGCAGTAAGAAATTTAGAAGCAAAAGTTAATTTTTTTTCTTGATAATTAAAATGACTTTATTAGTGGTTAGTGCATTTTCTACAGAAGAGCAGGTTCCTAACTGGATTCTTCTAGCTTTTCTCTCTGAGAAGTAGTGGAGTCATTCCTACAACAAAGAATTCGGGGGCGGAGGTTCTTCTTCTTCAAGAAACTTCATGACATTGTTGATACCAAAGATCTGTAAATCAGGAATTATAAAATTAGCCTTAGTAAGTATTTTTATAACCTGTTGTTGCACTGATTGAGTGAAGAATAAAGGAAGCTGTAGGGTCATTACATATAATTTGTTAGTCCATGCCTGAATCTCCTACAGCTTTACGCTATCACAGTAGAGATAGGTGAGACTCAGAGTTCTAAATCTACTGGCTATTTTTATATTATATAACAAGAAAAAACAACTTGTCTTGATGCATGCCATTAATTCTGACCCCAAGTGCTTGTCAGAGTTCTACAGTAGCTGGCATTGTAACGATTTGAGGAAAGCTTGTCATGATAGAAAAAGACGGCAGGAGTTTTTCAACATCTTGTCTTGGTTCCTGTTATCCAAAAAAATAAGTTGATTGAGTTTAGCAGGGGAAAGGGAAAAAATAGTACAAAGAGGAAAACTGCAGCAGAGTGTTGTAAGTGACTTTTTTGTTTTTGTTTTGTTTTCTGTCAGAACAGGCAGTATAATGATAGATCATGAGTAATCTAGTGGTGACGAGAAACCATCTCATGTCACTTGGAGGCTCTACAATGAATAAGAAATGCTTAGAAGATTGTTTTCAGCAAGAACTATATTAAGCACTAACACTATTAAGTCTTTAGTGGGGAAAACTAGATTGTGATGAAAAAATGTTCACCACCAGTCACTGTCAAAATTAATTGTTTGTCCACTAGGGTGAGGTTATGATCCAATGTGATGCCAGGGAACGTAACTGACTTTTTAGAATTCTGTGTATGCTTCTGTTGTCCTTAGCTTCTGGATGGTTCGCAAATATTTTTTTTTTAACTAGAATTCTAAGCCAAATATAATTCAGCTTTAGGTTTCCCCTGGTAACTGTTAGATCAATAATATAGCTTCGCTTCTATTCTATTCTGTAATACAATTTTTTCCCTGGAAGAACAAGTTTAAAAACTTTTCTATTTAAAACACGATTTACATTGGCATTATGACATTATTGCTTTGGTTCATTAAATGTGATTGAATACATCAACCCTGCAAATTAGGCATGAAGTTTATATGGTTGATGCACATCTATTAATTTATACCAAGTTTTTAAAAGTTATCACTGACATAAAACTGCTCTCTGGAAGTATCTGTAATTGCTTGATATTACATGCAAATCTCTTTGAAACTTCATTTTTGGGTGAATTAGAGCCATCATAATGTGGCCAGCATTATGCACTTTCCCACACAGCTCTGACAAATGCCTGTCTTGATTGTCACCTGAGCAGATTACCCATCATGATTTTTTTTTGTAGTAGTAGTTTGTGTGCATATATCCCCTGAACTCCAGTTGATAACGATGAAGCTCATGTTATGTATGACTCAAATTGGACTGAATTTGGTGGTCTCATATTTATCTTCAAGTGATCCTTTGACCACATCACAAATCAATCATGGAACTTCTCATCATACTTGACAGCTCAAGTTCAGGAATCCAATAGCAGATTAGGATTGCAATTCAGTGGCCAGTGGAGAATGTTAGTACAACACATTTGCACAAGGTTTGGTTCAGACTAGAACTACTGACTCTTTCCTTACATAGGTTTTAGAGTAGCAGCCGTGTTAGTCTGTATCCGCAAAAAGAACAGGAGTACTTGTGGCACCTTAGAGACTAACAAATTTATTAGAGCATAAGCTTTTGTGGGCTACAGCCCACTTCTTCAGATAGTGGATATAGATATGTTCCACTCTATACGCATCCGAAGAAGTGAGCTGTAGCCCACGAAAGCTTATGCTCTAATAAATTTGTTAGTCTTTAAGGTGCCACAAGTACTCCTGTTCTTTTTCCTTACATAAGAACACATCTGGATGGTGTGGTTAGCTAATGATCTGTGGTAACCTTCTTAGCTCTGCATATCTGTTTCTCTCTTTAAACATCTTTGGTTTTCATCAGGCGATCTGATATTATAGGGAAGAGGACCATGTGTAGGTCAACATAGCCCTTTTATCAGGGCTTGCTAGTGCCTCCTCTCATCACATTCATATCAACTTTTCATGACTCTCCCATTTCTGTTCATGGTGGTCTGTGTTTTTTTCTATTAA